ACCCCATTTTCCATACATGATGCTTGTGGATTTCGAGCACCACATGGTCCGTGTACCATGCAACCTATGATTGTTTCAAAAAGCAATGGGTCAGTTTGACAATCCGGAAATTCAGCACACACTACTCTGTCCACTTGAGCACATGTTTGGATTTTATCAGAACCATGAAGGAACAAAAGTGCATGCATGTGCGGTAACCCCCTTTTTTGGAATTCAATTGTAAAAACATGTGCCACTTTTCTACCAAAGACGTTATTTGTTTCTATCTCCTTCATCAAAAAATTTCTCTTCAACTCAAAAACACGGGCCACTAAATCAGGACGGTCAGTAGGGATCTGATTTGGCAATAGGGAATTAGTAATTTCAGGCCATTTGGGATTTGCAGTCATAGTTAAAAAAATATCAGGGTGTTGATTATACCGCGTGATAGCCATTGAATCTTGAAAAATTTCAAACATATGTCTTGCACTACCAGTGAATGAAGATGGCAAAACCATTCGTTGACCAACTTGTTCAGGACCAAGCTCATCTGCACAAACATCTGTAAGACCTTGGTAAAGTTCTGCACGAAGCTTTGATTGATTCAATTTGTAGTATGTCAACCGATTTTGTTCAGTAGCGGCCCAAGCATCTACCACAAATTCTTGAAATAATTTTCCAGCTCTCAAAATCGTTGAATACTCAATGTCACGTTGGAACATACGATAACTGTAATATTGCAACTGTGTCAGTCGAGTAGATGAAGGTCCACCTTGGGAAGTGTTCCACTGTTTCAAATCTGGATTCCATCCTAGCTCACCATAAGGGAACAATACCACATAATGCAATGGCAAATAGGCCGGATGACACTCATTAATTTGCATCAAACCGTTATCTCCTCTCAAATGTAACACAATATCTCTCATTCCACTTGATTCAGTTCCATCTCCCGGTAATATTACCGCAATCTCATCAGTTGTTGGGAGATTATATCGACGTCGATCTGTTACAGAACTGTAGTGAAGATAGGCTGGTAAATTCACCCCCGTCAATTCCAATTCACTTAAAATTGTGTGAGCCTGTCGAAATTTAATAGGAATTGGATTTACTTGCAATAAACAATCTTGGATGGTTTTCAAAACAACTCTTCTCAAGTTAGGATTTCTGTTGGTGCGAACATCTAAAGCTGAATTAGGATCATAAATGTACAATTGAGAGTAAATTGGATCACATCCTGGCTGTGGCATAAGCGATCCTGTTCGATGGCGTAATTCTCCATGGATGGTGAATGTTCTAGGCCCCCTCCCAACAATTAATCTGTCATCCAAAGTAGCACCAAGACTTGTAAACGCATTAGCTGCATTATACTCTCGTGTGTGTTGACGAAACGATTTTGATTGTTCATCATTGTTGTCATACAATGCTTTAAGCATTAAAGGAGGTGCAATAAGTGGAGGTAGTCTAATCTTTCCTTGTAAACAACATTTACCAAAGAGAGGATTTGATATAGATGATTTTGTTAATTTTTCAGCAACCCAGTGTAAGGCAGAACAATGAGGACATGTTCGATTCATCAAGCCGAGGAAATGACGATCTGGAATTTGATGGTTTCGAGAATTAAGTGCAACATCCATAGCTACACCTTCTTCTACAGTATAGGCACTACATATAAAATTTAGATGTCATACAATTTGATTGTATAATGAGAACATGAATAAGACAGCAAGAGTGAGAATAGGAAATTAAAACTTAAAGCGAACACCTGGTGCCTTCATTCAGATTGCGCATTTGTTGGAACATGTTTGTCATATCCGATGCCTCTGGGGAACATGGGGAGAATGGTTCCAAGACTGTTGTTATGCTTTTGTCTAGGTTTTGAGGAGGCAAGTCTTGGAGCATGGTAGTCACAGGCGACACCATTGAGATATTTGTTGGTGTGCCTTCTTCAAGATTTTGAGGAGGATTTTCTTGATTCATGATGGCCACAGACAACCACCGTGAAACAATTGTTGTAGTGTCTTCATTAAGATTTTGAAGCAAGGTGGTTGACGATGACTCTAAAACATTTGTTGTCACTATACTGTCTGTTACAGGATTGAAAATTTTGGTAGACAAAGTCATTGGTTGAAGGCGGGACCTTTTATTTGATTCTCGTTCTAGGCATGCTCGGCGACGACGGCTCGGTGGTAAAGAAGGAAAAAATCTAGGCTGAACGGGGGCACAATGTTTTGATCGCTCTCTTTCGGGGGCACAATGTTTTGATCCCAATTGACGTTTGGAGCACTCATTTTCTTTCCCAATATAACGCATTTCTGGAGCAAGCCTTGCACATTGCGGCAATGTTGATTGTGATATAACATTATACTTGGGTGCCTAAACCACAAACTCATAAAAAAATAATTATTATTTTATTGATTTAACGTATATCGTATCGTTTTTCACTTTGTATATATAGCAACGCGAGGTAACATGACAAATCATAATGCTACAATGTAAACAGTAATACGGATCAAAAGATTTACTAAACTCTTATTATGTATCAGTGTTGCATTAACAGAACTATCTACCCAACCACAGTTGCATCTAACACATTGTTTACTAATTACTGGACAGATGGAAAAAAA